TAATAATAATAATAATAATAATAATAATAATAATAATAATAATAATAATAATAATAATAATAATTAATATAGCCCTACTACGTGGGTAAATATCCTTAGACATAAGACAGAGCTGTGGCAATTAGGACTATATCTGCAGCGATTGGGAGTTTCATTTGTCTCGATTGTCTTGGGCTTCTCCAGAAACCACCCACCCTCCTTAGTTACCTGGCATAAGAGCATCACTGCTTCTCTAAATTCAGCCTGGCAGATGGCACAGATGTCGCCCGCCTCGCTGCACTGCTGGTTGCTTGCACGGACCCCGTAGCTCTATCGAAGGGAAAAGGTCAGTGTTAAGAGGGGAAGTTGCTCCAGGAAGGCGTGGAGATGGGTACCAACACAGGTGCCTTGTCAGGGGAATCTGGCTGAGGGGGAGAAGCAAAGCTATGTGGTCTTTGTAGAACAGGAATGGCAGAACCAAACGCCCCTGTGTTGGATCCCCAACACTCACTTTGAGTAGAGCGGTTAAATTTTGGAGACTCATTCCCTACCGAACCTCAAATTTTACCCAAGAAACAGAGGAAGGGAACAGTGAAGTAATAGACTAAGTTGGAAGGGACCTTGGAAGTCTTCCAGTCCTATTCAAGCAGGAGACCCTATACTATTTCAGACAAATGATTGTTGTCCAATCTCTTCTAAAAAGCCTCCAGTGATGCAGCACCCGCAACTTCTGAAGTGCCACTGGTTGATTGTCCTCCCTGTTAAGAAGTTTCTCCTTAATTCCAGGTTGCTTCTCTCCTTGATTAGTTTCCATCCGTTGTTTCTTGACTTGCCTTCTGGTGCTTTGGAAAATAACTTGACTCCCTCCTCTCTGGGGCAGCCCCTGAGATACTGGAAGACTGCTCTCCTGTCTCCCCTGGTCCTTCTCTTCCCTAGACTAGCCAGGCCCAATTCCTGCAACCTTTCTTTATATGTTTTAGCCTCCAGTCCCCGAATTATCTTTGTTGCTCTTCTCTGCACTCTTTCCAGTCGAAACAAAGGGGTGGTTGCTTCCCCCTGAACACGTTTTGTTCACTCTCACACACAAACAAAATAAAGAGTTTGTGATGCCCTCTCACCAACTGCATCAAAAGCTCTGAGGATAAGTCTGAAATCTGGACCCGGCAGCTAAGAACATGGGCCAGCAAGCAGAAAGGAGACAACATACTGCACAAAATTATCTGCTACCATGTCCTACCAGTCAATAACTACTTCAGCTTCAACCGCAACAATACAAGAGCACACAACAGATACAAACTCAAAGTAAACCGCTCCAAACTTGATTGCAGGAAGTACGACTTCAGCAACAGAGTGGTCAATGCCTGGAATGCACTACCTGACTCTGTTGTTACATCCTCTAACCCCCCAAAACTTTAACCTTAAAGTAAGGGGTGTGCATAAGTGCACCATCGTGCCTACCATCCCTGTCCTATTGTCCCCATTTATTCATACCTATTTCCTGTATTCTTACTCATGTTTATACTTATTATCTTGTAAACGATTGACAAATCAAATAAATAATAAATAAATACTTGTAAAAACATGTTTAGTGGGAGACAGAGACAGGAGAAGTAGAGAGAAGAAGAAGGGGACTGGAAGGCAGAAGCCCTGTCTTGCTTCTCTTCTTCCCTAAGATGAATTTTAAAGATGCTTCCTTCATTTCAGGAAGCAGCAAAAGGTCATAATATTAGCAGCCATTGGGAGCTGGTGCCCTTGAACCTGTCCAGCCCTCTTTCAAGTCATCAAAAACAATTCAGAATGGCTGGCAGCGAATTCCACCTTCAGCTCTTCCTGACTGTCTGAGGTGAGAGCATTATCTCAAACTCCCCAAAGAAATTAGGAGGGGGGGGGGGAGAGTTTTCCAAGCCAACCTCTCCATTAACACAACAACAACAACTTTCTGTACAGTTGCCAAAGAGGCAGAGTTGCCTCAAGTTTAGAAAGGCGAAGCAGCTGCCTACCCACCTGAGGAGCACAGAGGACTTTGACTGCCCGGGTCACGCTTCCCAAACGGCCACAGATGTCAAAAGACTAAAATGGAAGATGGAGAAAAAACTCAGTGAACAGGAGGTTGCAACAGAAGAGAATAAACAGCATGGCGCAACATAGGAGAACAAACCCATCAGGACTAGACTCCGCAGTCCATCTGCATTTAAAAGACAAAAGGTTGCTCTTTGGAAGACAGCAAAGTCCAGATTTTGGACAGAGAGGACAGCTGGTTTGAAAGAGGGGTCAAAAGAGGCCATCGATGTCAAAATTGAACATCCCTCTATCTTAAAAAAGAGGGAAGGATATGATATCATCTATCTCCAGTCTACCACACAGTCCTTTCAGCAGTTCCAAGAAGGCTCCACACCCAGTACCGCTCTTCAGGTGACCCTGAGGACACAGATAAAACCTCCAAGTGGCCTCAACGACCCTCTAAAAAAATGCAAATGACCAGCTTGTCTGCAAGGAGTATAAATCCTTCCCTTTCCTATTTCCAAAATTGATTTTAAATCGCACTGTCAACGCTGGACCGCTTTGCTATCCATTTTGGTGGTACTATCAAAGGTAGCTTGGGTTCTGCAAATATATTTTAACTCCTTATTACCTGAGCTGAAAGGTAGTTGCTGTTGGGAGTAAGGATCCCCTACCTTCCTCTGTTATCTGGTCCTTTTCATAGGAATGGGGGAACCTTCTCATTGTGACTATTTGTGCCCTTGCATCACACAATTAAGTTACATTCAGTGGTCAATCTGTGCCTGTCGGGCATGAAAGGCCAGGTTTGCATGTGAAAGTCCAATCAAATTGATCTACTGTTGCTCATGTCTATGCGGAAGAATCTTCTCAACTAATGGTTGACGCCTTCTAGGAGTTAGTTACGGGTCAATGGGATTTAAGGGAGATTGGACTGAGTTCATTTGTGGCTACATAAGGATTGTAGGCTAATCCCTCTCTTGACTCCACCTCCAAGTTTTGCCACTCCTTCTCCTACAATCCCTGACTCAAAAGAAACTGAATTCAATCCTCCAAGGAGCAAGATCTGGAATGGCTAAAAACGCCCTCTAGTTCTTCTCTTTCTTTCTTTTTTTGCATTTCCAGTGAGGCAGTTATGTGGATTAAGGATTCATAGATGACTAACGAAAGAGCCAAGAACACGTTTATGCCTGTACAAGTTTTCGAAGATCCCAACTCACTGATTGGCGCGAGCATATTCATGTCAATTTCTTCCCAAGAATAAATTTGGCAGCTTTTCGGGCACCATAAATCTCTTTTGTGGGCTCAGGGTAGACTCAACAGAAGTTATACACAATGACATATTGTTATTACTCCCAATGTTTCTCAGTTTCGTGCCTAAAATTGGGACCAAAACAGCCTAAACGTTCATTGAGGAGTGACTGCCAACAAATGATTTTAGCTAAAAATGAAGCGGGGAGGCGGGGTTTCCTTTTCCAAAACAGCTTGGCATGAAAAATGGATCACTTAATAGGATGGCCAGGCTTGTTATCACACCATTGCTAAGGGAAGGTTGCACTTCCAAGTCATCTTGAGACAAACCACATTCAACTAAATTTCCGCCGGCTTCTTTAAGTGGGTCTGAGTGAAGCCAATCGCTTCCAAGAACAGATAAATAGAATTGCAGTGCTTGAGATCAATGGATTCATTTAAATTTAATGGAGTTTGAATTTGGGAAGGCACCTCCGGACAGACAGCGGCAGTTTCTGATCGGTACTTGAGAAACCAGGTTGACAACAAGCCTGTTTTGAAGAGGCAGGCGTTGGCTTTTTGTAATACTTGTGTCATGGTTGAGTTCTCGTGCATCTCTGCTTGCAACCAGACAAGAGAAACTGGGCGGGGGGTGGGGGAGTCACTGGAATGTATGGCGAACTGGGAGGGAATTGAGGGATTTAAGGGCACTGCCATGGCCTGAGAGAATTTCTATTCACCTCAAGGTCGAACGCTGGAAAACCTCAGAAAGGTGCAGACTGTTCCCAAAACTAACTGGCTATATATGATTGGTGGACAAGGGGCAGTAAGTGACCAGGGGGAAAAGAGAGACAGAGTAGAATTAGAATTAGAGTAGAATAGAATTAGAGTAGGGTAGAGTAGAGTAGAGTAGAGTAGAGTAGAGTAGAGTAGAATTAGAATTAGAATTAGAATTAGAATTAGAATTAGAATTAGAGTAGAATAGAATTAGAGTAGGGTAGGGTAGAGTAGAGTAGAGTAGAGTAGAGTAGAGTAGAGTAGAGTAGAGTAGAATTAGAATTAGAATTAGAGTAGAATAGAATTAGAGTAGAGCAGAGTAGAATGGAGTAGTGTAGAGTAGAATAGAATTAGAATTAGAGTAGAGTAGAGTAGAATGGAGTAGTGTAGTGTAGAGTCGAGTCAAATCGAATCAAATCAAATCAAATCAAATCGAATAACAGAGTTGGAAGGGACCTTGGAGGTCTTCTAGTCCAAACCCGTTTAGGCAGGAAACCCTACACCACCAGACAAATAGTTTTCTAATCACTTCTTTAAAACTTTCAGTGTTGGAGCATTTACAACTTCTGGAGGCAAGTTGTTCCCCTGGTGAATTGTTCTCACTGTTAGGAAATTTCTCCTTAGTTCTAAGTAGCTTCTCTCCTTGGTTAGTTTCCATCCGTTGCTTCTTGTCCTGCCCTCTTGTGCTTTGGAGAATAGCTTGACTCCCTCTTCTTTGGGGCAGCCCCTGAGATATTGGAAGACTGCTATTATGTCCCCCCTACAGTCCTTCTTTTCATCAGATTCATACCCAGTTCGAGCAACTGTTCTTCATATGTTTTAGCCTCCAGTCCCCTAATCCTCTTTGTTGCTCTTCTCTGCACTCTTTCTAGAGTCTCAACTTTTATCTAGGCTGCTTTCTGCGCAAAAACCTCAGATCCGGCTTCGCTTCTTCTGCACCTATGGGGGAATGATCAGCAAAGCCATATCCTTGGAAAAAAAGCAATGTCCCAGCAATTTCTTTTTGCTTGCATATTGGGACAGTTGACAGCTGCATCGTCAGCTGACATATAAATGTTTGCAATCTCCACACTCTGTCATTACAATTCAGCCATTAATAATGAGAAGAAAATGGCCAGAAAGGATCTCAATGACGGATGGGTGTGAAGGACAGAAAAGGGCAGAGGAGAAAGATCGAGCCGGATGTCGTCGGAATACAAGCTGGGTCATTGGTTGGAGCAGGTGGCATATAAATCAATGAACTGAGTAAAAAAAAAAATCAAGTAGAAAAGAAGCAAGATTCGTTCTCCTAGCTTCACCAGATGTCTAATTTACAAGAATCAGCAGGCAAAGCTTATCAAGGATCCAACCTGGATCAGTCACTGGGATCAGAGATTTTGTCTACTGAGCTGTAGCCCATCTTCTGGGAATTTCCTTCTAGCACAGTGTGTGCTCTTCTGTTTGTGGTATTTATATGGTGCTTGTTGTATGTGGCTTTTTAGATGTCGATTGGGGTGTGTTGAAGGCTGGCTTTTAAGTGGTTAGCTGTTGGCTTGGGTTGCCCAGCCCTCACTTTCTAAGTATTGGATAAGCTGGGAGTAAACCAACACTTCTGTTGACTGACAAGAGGCCTGTTTCCCAGGTTTCAATCCAGCGGTGGGATTCACACATTTTTACTACCGGTTCTGTGGGCGTGGCTTGGTGGGCCTGGCAGGGGAAGGTTACTGCAAAATCCCCAATCCCTCCTCACTAACCTGCTTTCCAGCTCCGTTCTCCTGTCCAGGGCAACCAAAGAAGACCCAGCCAATCAGCTGGGACTTGGGAGGTGGAGAATAGATGGGGGCGGGGCCCGTCAGAGGTGGGATTGGCCGGTTCTCCGAACTACTCCAAATCTCCTCTACCGGTTCTCCAGAACTGGTCAGAACCTGCTGAATGCCCACCTCTGCTTCAATCACTTCCCTGGCTGTTTTTGAGCCTGCTTGCCCAACAATCTTAGTAGCTGCGAAATTGAACATGTGTCCTTATTCATAGTAGTGTGAGGCTACCAATGAGTGTGGGTCTCCTTTTCCGACCGGTCACTTGGGTTCTTACCATCTGGGGGTTAGCTTTCTCCCCCTCTGTCCTACAAAACCACAGGGGCAATCCATGCAGGGGATTGTGGGCTTTGTTTTTCCTTGAAGGTATTGCATTTCTCATCCAAGTCGCTTCTTCCTTTCTGACTGAAGAACCCAGGGTTAGGGTTAGTAGAGAACTGAAGAAATTTCTTGGATGAGAAGTGAAACGTCTTCAGGGAAAAACTGGGAAAGTCCAGTTGGCTTTTGAAAAAAACACCTTTGGGACAACCAAGACCTGGACGACTGAGAAGGTCCATGGACATTCAGAGCAACCACTTACTTTGCAGAGGCTGTACATGATGATGAGACTCCCCCCAAGGAAATAGCTGCTGGATGGATCATCTCCCATGATGTACTTATACCACAGCTGGATGGGGACCAGAGAACGGAACAACTGGCTTATTTCTTCAATGACCAGGTAGAACTTCCCCTGTAAGAGAGAGGAGAAAACAGGAACTGGAGACAAGAAATTGCAGCTCTGCTCCCTTTTGTAAGAGAATCCATCGCAACGAACATAGTGGATCTTATTCTGAGGAATCCTTAAATATCTCAGGAGCCTCACTGAATTCCACAATGTGGAATTAGATGCATCATTCAATTCATCACGGATAAAGGCCTCTTCCTCCAACAATATCGAGTTTTGAATAGCTTGCAAAAACAACAAAACTACCGAGAGCTTTCATTCATCCAAATGGAAGACAGGGCTTAAACTATGGTGGGAAAAGCACCAGGATGGGAGAGTGGGAGTTCTAGTCCCACTTGAGGCACAAAACTGGATGACTTTGAGCTGGTCCCTGTGTTTCTCAGCCCTAGGAAGAAGAAAACAAGCTACTTAGCTTTATCCAGCCACAAGTATTTTTAATTTCCTTGCTTATCAATGGAGACCGAGTGGAGCAAGTGGCCAGTTTTAAGCTTCTGGGTGTTACCCTAAAAGAGGACCTGACCTGGGTGCTCACATTGCAGCCCTGGTCAAAAGGGCCCAGCAGAGATTATACCACCTGAGGCTTCTCAGGAAATAACAACGGAATAAAATACTGCTGGTGACCTTCTACCGCTGCACCATAGAGAGCATTTTAACATATTGCACCTCTGTATGGTTTGCCAATTGCACAGGGGCAGATAGGAAAGCACTCCAGAGGGTGAATGTCATTGCCCAGAGGATCATGGGTTGCCTTCTCCCCTCTTTGGAAGAGCTTTATGGCTCACGCTGCCTTAAGAAAGTTCAGAACATTCTCAAAGATCCATCTCATCCTGGGCACCCTTTTTATTTGAACTATTACTATCTGGCAGACAGTACAGGATAATAAAAACAAGGACAAATAGGCTGAAAAACAACTTCTATCCCAGGGCAGCAACTCTATGGGATTCTACTGTGTAGTGCAATATTGATGCAGTATCAGGGGTTTCCCATTCAATGTGTGGAGCGTGAAGGATGTGCGTTTGTGTTTATTTTCATGTCATGATGTGCACTGAAGATGGTATTTAATTCCGTTGTACGAGGTGCAATGACCATAAAGTAAACTGAACGAAACGAATACATTTAGTAGCACACAAT